GTCACAAAGATTTTTCTCTACAAGTTTTTATCATTTTGGTTTTCAATTCTTAGGTCCATAATCTATTTTGAGTTCATTTTTGTATGTGGTACAAGGTATAGACTTTTTCCCAATTGACCCAGCACCATTTGTTGAAAAAACTGTCCTCGGTACATGGACAGGCCTTTGCACCTGTGTTAAAATCAACTGGCAATGCACATGTAGAGGGCTTTTTTTCTCTATATATGTCCCATTGATTTGTCTCTATACCAATATCACATGGTCTTCATTGCTGTAGCTGTATACAATGTCTCAAAATCAGGTAGTAAAAGTCCTCCAACTTTGTTTCTCTTTTTCAAAATTATTTTGGCTATTCTTGGTCCTTTGTATTTTCATATGAATTTTAGAATTAGCTTGTAATTTCCTACCAAAAAAAAAAAAAACTAACCTACTGGAATTTTTATTATTTTGCATTAAATATATAGATTGATATGGGAAGAACTGGTATCTTAGCAATATTGAGTTATCTGATCCACAAGCATGGTGTCTCTTTCCATTTACTTAGCCTCATGTTATTTCTCTCAGCAATGTTCTATAGTTTTCAGTATACAGATCTCGCATGTCATTTTTCAGATTAATCTCTAAGTATCACATACTTTAGCACTATTGGGATAGGTTAAGAGAAAGTTCAGTTTCCAATTGCTTGTTTTCGTGATTTGTATATTGATCTTGTATCCTGAAACATTTCTATATTCAGCAAATGCTAGTATTTTTCTTTTGTAGATTCCATCATAAATGATAATGTTATATGACCAAAAAAAACCACACACGACTGTTTTTCTTCTTTCTCTGCGATGTGGATCCCTTTCATTTCTTTTTGCTGATTTATCGCACTGTTTAGAATGTCTAGTAGTGTCGAACAAACACGGTAAGAGCCCACACGCTTGACTTGTTCCTGATCCAACCACCATCAAATATGAAGGCCAGTTCTATAGTTTCCTAATGCTCCCATTCCAATCTACTTTACACACAATTAAAATGATCACTGTAAAATGTGAATGGGCAAGTCACTGCTCTGCTTAAAGCCTTCCTGATTTTCCACTGTCCTGAGAAAGAACAACTCTTGCATGCTCTGTCACCATCACTCTAACGCAGCTGTGGGCAAACTACGGCCCGCCCGTTTGAAATGAATAAAACTAAAAAAAAAAAAAAAAAGTCCGTACCCTTTTATGTAATGATGTTTACTTTGAATTTATATTAGTTCACACAAACACTCCATCCATGCTTTTGTTCCAGCCCTCCGGTGCAGTTTAAGAACCATTGTGGCCCTCGAGTCAAAAAGTTTGCCCACCCCTGCTCTACCGTCTTTTGAAGTCACACCCGACCCAGAGCACTGGGTTCCAACCAAACATGCCTCTTTCAATTCCCCCAAGCTCTTTCATCCTAGGGGCTATGTACTGCTCTCTCAGCCGGGATCACTCATTCCTGACTCTTCAAATGTCTGCTTCCTCCTAGCTCTTCAGTTTTAAGGGCTCCTCAACAAGGCTTTCTTTGACCTCCCAATGCACAGTAAGTTCCCCCTGTCACTCCCTCCTGATATTTACACTCACCTACTTATTTTATGTGTGTTTCCCCTTTATGAACTGTAACCTCCTTGACAGCTAGTTGTCTATTTTATTCACCTCTATGTTCTCAGTGCTCAGAACAAGTGCCAGCACATGGAAGGCACTCAGTAGATATTTCCGTATGAATCAAAATGCCAGTATCATTAAACACTCGCTTCTATTACAAGATTGCTTTTTTATAAGATTAACTAAGAAATTAGCCCTGGCTGGTTTTGCTCAGTGGATAGGGCGTGAGCCTCTGGACTGAAGGGTCCCAGGTTCGATTCTGGTCAAGGGCACATGCCCAGGTTGCGGGCTCAATCCCCAGTGTGGGGTGTGCAGGAGGCAGCCAATCAATGATCCTCTCTCATCATTGATGTTTCTATCTCTCTCTCCTTCTCCCTTCCTCTCTGAAATCAATAAAAATATATATTTTTTTAAATAGAAATTATGCCCATGGCAAAAGTGAAAAAAGTGGCACCGCGTAATTTTTTTTTGGTCATTTTACCACTTGAAAGTAATGACTCCCAGAAGTAAGGCAGAATTGAAGACGGTGCTTACTATAAGTACAAATACTTCTTAACAATATCTTAATACAATGATTTAAAAATGAGTTGCACATAACATAGGTTTTATAATTTGACATGAGGTTTTTAAAAGTTTAGCTGCCTACATTATATAGCAAACCCTCTTTAACAGTCATTATTATTGCCCCATAAAGTCTTATCCAGTTGCTTAACTCTTCAGCATTTTTAGATATAGTCAGAATCACACAATTAAATACTCTCCTATGCCTATTCTTCAATTGTTTTCCATATAGTTTTTAGGCCTACTTGATATAGAATCTAATCTGGGACTGAATTCCATCTTTTTGTATTTTTTAGTACAGAGCAAGATAAATGAGAATCCTAAATAAAGGACTGCATGTTGATTAACTCAAGAAATAAATGAAATTATTTCATCAAATATTTTCTTAGTACATATTCATTAGTATACATTTTCTTTATAGTATCCATTTATTCAGTTTTTATAATATGGATTAATTTTTATTACTTTAAAAAGTTATTAAAGTCATCTTTATAGCTCAGTTATATAGTTTCAGCAGACACATTTGATTCTTTGTGTAAATATACTCTATAGATGAGTATATAATATTCTTTACATATTCCCATAAAATTAATATTGGGGGAGTTATTTAATTAACTTTATTGTAACCTCATTAGCAAAATGATTTTTTCAAAATAATTTAGAACCCTCAAGGTCACTACTCTCTATCCTTCATTTTTTATTTTTACTTCATGAAACTTTGGACATTCAATACCCTCTGTGGACCAGATTTAGCCTGCTCAACACAGTATGTGTATAGAATGCTCAATATATTTAGCTTTAAATCTAATTCATGTAATATAGAATAACTTTATTCTTAAGAGAGAGAGAGAAACATTAGTGTGAGAAATAGCAATCATTTTCCTCCCATACGGACATTAAACCTGCAGCCTAGGTATGTGCCCTGACCAGGAATCAAACCCTAAACCTTTTGGTGTATGGGACAACACTCCAACCTACCAAGCCACCCAGCCGGGGCTAGAATAACTCTTAGTCAAGAGGACCTAACTACCTGTTCCTTCTAATGTTGTTTAATCGGCACTTCTAGGTGTTAAGCTAACAAGCACAGGTCAGTTAATATCACTGAAGTTGAATGTAAAATTAAACTTAAACTGTGTAGACTTAATTCCATTTAAATTATAGCATGACTCCGGGAAAATAGATATGAAAAGGCTTGATTCACTTTTGAATCACATGCAATGCTAAAATAAACATAATAAACACCTCAATTCATCATTGTAACAACTAAAAAAAAAAAAACAACCACCTCATTCTGCCAGGATAGAAGGGTAGGTATCTTGTAAAAATAACATGGTACATCCCTACATCTAATTTAAATCATAGTAATTGGAACCATGCTATATATGTCTATATATGCCTAAAAATAAAACACAAGGGTACACTAATAATTACAGTATTTTAAACACATATAAATTAATTTAAAAGTTAGGGAAAAGTTACAACCAAACAGAAAGCCAAAGAAAAGTATACAAAACTATTAGCAAACATAATCCCCATTAGTATGTAACCTCCCTGACACCATTATAGGTAAGCTCCCTAAGGACACATACATTGTTGTCTGTTTTGTTCATTCAAGTTCTTAAGACCAGCACTTTGCACATAGGTACAAATGAATAATAAATCTTATATTTTTAACAATATATATTAACTAGAGGCCTGGTGCACAAATTCAGCACCATGGGGTCCCTGGGCCTGGCCTGTGGGATCAGGCCGAAACCAGCTCGCCGACATCCCCCAAGGGGTCCTGGATTGCAAGAGGGCGCAGGCCAGGCTGAGGGGCCCCATCGGTGCACAATCGGGGCTGGGGAGAGATGAGGGAGGTTGGCCAGTGGGAAGGGACCATGGGAGGGCTCCAGGGCATGTCCAGCCAGTCTCACTCAGTCCCGATCAGCCGGACCCCAGCAGCATGCTAACCTACTGACTGGAGCGTCTGCCCCCTGGTGGTCAGTGTGCTTGTCATAGCAAGCAGTTGAGTGGCCTTAGCATATCATTAACATATTACACTTTGATTGGTTGAATGACCGACCCGTTGACCAAACACTTAGCCTATTAGGCTTTTATTATATAGGATAACCCATAAATAACTAAATAGAGGAAAGAATATTCTAATAGATCAAATATTTTTTGTTTATAGCAGGAAAACTAATTCTGAAGAATTTAGGAAGCAATAAAATGAATATAAAACTAAAATTGTGATGGTCCAATTCAATCTTTATTTGATGATTCTTTAGAAGTCACACCACAGGGTCATTATTAAGAATATCAGTGAAATTATATATTATCAATGTTGTTGAATACTATTAATATAAATTTAACTTAACAGAATACCAAATAATATAGATTCACCAAGTAACATATATGCATATACGAATAGCCCACAGACACAAATAATAATGTGGGAAGAAGGGGGCAAAGGAAGTGGGTGGAGGGGGGCAAAGGGAAGAAAAATGGAGGACATCTGTAATACTATCAATAATAAATAAAAAATTTTTAAAAGATAGCTATGATTTTGTAAAACTAAAATTTTTCTGAGATACTGAAAAGCTAACTTTATTAAAATGTCTCTACTCAGAAAATGACTAAAGAAATCTTTATTTCAACTAAGACCTGGATTTCTCCATTTCCATCAACTAATTCCCCTAAATATTTTCATCACAATACAAAACGTGCATCATAATCCTCCCTCCACTCAATGATTAAGGCACAAAAGATCAGCCACCAAAAGCTCCGAAGTTTTCTCCTGACAATGAAAAAAATGGCAAATTCAAAACTCATTTCGCACCAACTTACTCTAACTTTTGGCAAGACTCTCCGAAGTGTCTCAGCAGGATTCTGTCGCATCAAAAACGGGAGATTTGCAATCACACTTGTTCCCTGGATATCTTGACCAGCACTTACAGAGAAAAGACAAATTTACAATTTGTAATTGTAAGCTGAATACCTAGTTTATGACTATAAAAAGCAGATTAATTTGAAAAATGGCTGCTTTTAATGACAAACACTAAGACTTTGACAAAGTTTTAAATTTCAAACACCATTACTTAAATACAAAAATAAAACCAGGACAGAAATTTCATTAAGTAAATCTTATAACATGTGCATGAAAATATTAAGCTCATGCTAAAAACAAGATTAACTTTTAAGTTTAAAAGGTTTTAAGACTATTATTAAATACTTTAAAATTCTACCTCATTTTTTTTCGTATGACCTACCAATTTGCTGTACTGTCTAAAAAATATAAATGGAAAGTTTTCATCATGGTAAAATATTAATAATCACTACAACAGGAATAGCAACAAAACCAACTACACAGAATCATACAACTTCCTTCTGTTATAATGAAGTTACCTGTGGCCAGCCTAGACTAACTCTGTGAGTTGCCAGAACTTCTTAAAGAAATACTCAACATTCTTAAAGGTCAGTGGGGTATATTTATACAGTATCTTTTTGACATATTATTCATTAGGTCACTAAAGTTTTATCAAAATAATCTCAGTGATGCTCTAGTGGTCTAAATACTTTAGAAAAGGTGTTCAGATTCATCTGAAAAACCAGTTCCATACAAAAAATTCTTTGATTTTAAAACATAAACTCTAAGATTTCTAAGTACCTGACATACTAGTATATATATATATATATATAAAAGATGCTAGTAAATGTGGCACTGCTATTCTGATGCCAATTTACATGCTAATTGCTGATGCCATATTTATTTATCTTAATTAAAATTATTTTAACTTAGCTCTTCAAGTGGAACTATTTGTTATTATATGTATGTTAAGATCTTAATATGGTTTTTAAGGTATTATATTTGTTTGCTTCAGTTTTATAAGTTCTGTTAATAAGAAACAGGTTCTGCAGAGCTGCAGAGCTATGAAGAAAGGCATTTGCCCTGTTGTAGTAAGGCAGGCTACGAACCACCAGTCAGCACAATATTCCACTGCTGTCACCTCTCCCTAAGTCAGTGATGGCGAACCTATGACACGTGTGTCAGAAGTGACACGCGAACTCATTTTTTTGGTTGATTTTTCTTTGTTAAATGGCATTTAAATATATGAAATAAATATCAAAAATATAAATCTTTGTTTTACTATGGTTGCAAATATCAAAAAATTTCTATATGTGACACAGCACCAGAGTTAAGTTAGGGTTTTTCAAAATGCTGACACACCGAGCTCAAAGGTTCGCCATCACTGCCCTAAGTGAATACTTTAAAAGACAAAAGTCAAGAAGGAATGGGACTGAAATAAGGGACGCATGCCAAGATGGGAAGATGGTCTAAAAAAGGAAATTAAAGTTGCATATAAAATTACTAGTTGTAGTAGGTTGAATGGTGCCCTTCCCACCCCATAAAATATGTCTCTGCCCTAAGCCTTCATTCCATGATGTCATCTTCACTTGAAAAAGGACCTTGAGCCCTAACCGGTTTGGCTCAGTGGATAGAGCATCAGCCTGCGGACTGAAGGGTCCCAGGTTCGATTCCGGTCAAGGGCTTGTGCCTTGGTTGCGGCACATCCCCAGTAAGGGGTGTGCAGGAGGCAGCTGATCAATGTTTCTCTCTCATCGATGTTTCTAACTCTATCCCTCTCCCTTCCTCTCTGCAAAAAATCAATAAAATATATCTTTTTTAAGAAAAGAGAAAAAAGGACCTTGAGATGAAGAGACCATTCTGGTTACCCAGGAAGACTATAAACCCAGTACCAGGCATCAAAAGAGACACTCAGAGGAGAAGACACAGAAAAGAAGGCAGTGTGCCCACAGAGCAGAGACTGCAGTGATGCAGCCACAGGTCGGGGATGCTGACAACCCACAGAAGCTGGCAGAGGCAAGGACAGCCTCTCCCTAGAGCCCTGCTGACAACTGGGTTTTGACTCAGTGACACTAATTTCAGAATCATGGCTTCCAGAATGTGAAAGAATAAATGTCTTTGTTTTAAGCCATCTAGTTTATGGTAATGTATTATAGTAGCTGCAGAAAACAAATCCACTGCTAAAGAACAGAGAGAGAGAGAGAGAGAGAGAGAGAGAGAGAGAGAGAGAGAGAGAGAGAGAGTGGTAATGTTTCATATGACAGTTTCTGGCCTAGAGTAGAGGATCAGTAAATGTCTCTTAAAAAGATGAATAAGCTCTGGCCCGGGGGGCTCAGTTAGTTGGAGCGTTTCCTGTTCACCAAAAGGCGGCATGCTCCCGGTCAGGCCACATACCAGGTTGTGGGTTTGATCCTCAGTCAGGCTGCGTGCATGAGGCAGCCAATCTCTCAATCTCTCTCTCTCTCTGTCTCTCTATTCCTCTCTAAAAATCAACTCAATAATTTTTTTTAAAGGATGAATAAATGGATGACTCACTGGGTGAAGTTCCCACCTCTGCATAACATTCTTGAAATGACAAAATTATACAAATGGAGAAGACAGTGGTTTCCAGGGTTTAGAGATGGATGTGGAAAAAGATCCTATCTAATAAGGAGGGAATATGCTAATTGACTGCCCAGCCCTCAAAGATGGCGGCACCCACAGCCAATAAGGAGGGAGTATGCTAACTGGCTGCCCAGCCTTCCAAGATGGCGGCGCCCACAGCCAATAAGGAGGGAGTATGCTAACTGACTGCCCAGCCCTCAAAGATGGAGGCGCCCACAGCCAATAAGGAGGGAGTATGCTAACTGACTGCCCAGCCCTCAAAGATGGAGGCACCCACAGCCAATAAGGAGGGAGTATGCTAACTGACTGCCCAGCCCTCCAAGATGGCGGCGCCCACAGCCAATAAGGAGGGAGTATGCTAACTGGCTGCCCAGCCCTCAAAGATGGCGGCGCCCACAGCCAATAAGGAGGGAGTATGCTAACTGGCTGCCCAGCCCTCCAAGATGGCGGCGCCCACAGCCAATAAGGAGGGAGTATGCTAACTGAATGCCCAGCCCTCCAAGATGGCGGCGCCCACAGCCAACAAGGAGGGAGTATGCTAACTGACTGCCCAGCCCTCAAAGATGGTGGCGCCCACAGCCAATAAGGAGGGAGTATGCTGACTGCCCTGCCCTCAAAGATGGCGGCGCCCACAGCCAATAAGGAGGGAGTATGCTAACTGACTGCCCAGCCCTCCAAGATGGCGGCGCCCACAGCCAATAAGGAGGGAGTATGCTAACTGACTGCCCAGCCCTCCAAGATGGCGGCGCCCACAGCCAATAAGGAGGGAGTATGCTAACTGACTGCCCAGCCCTCCAAGATGGTGGCGCCCACAGCCAATAAGGAGGGAGTATGCTAATTGCTGCCCAGCCCTCAAAGAATGCAGCGCCCACAGCCAGTCAGGAGGGAATATGCTAATTGACTGCCCAGCCCTCAAAGATGGCGGTGCCCACAGCCAATAAGGAGAGAATATGCTAATTGGCTGCCCTGTCCTCCAAGATGGCGGCACCCACAGCCAATAAGGAGGGAATATGCTAATTGCTGCCCAGCCCTCAAAGAATGCGGCGCCCACAGCCAATAAGGAGGGAATATGCTAATTCACTGTTCTGCCCTCAAAGATGGCGGCACCCACAGCCAATAAGGAGGGAATATGCTAATTGACTGCCCTGTCCTCAAAGATGGCGGCACCCACAGCCAATGAGAGAATATGCTAATTGGCTGCCCCGTCCTCAAAGATGGCGGCACCCACAGCCAATAAGGAGGGAATATGCTAATTGACTGCCCTGTCCTCAAAGATGGCGGCACCCACAGCCAATGAGAGAATATGCTAATTGGCTGCCCCGTCCTCAAAGATGGCGGCACCCACAGCCAATAAGGAGGGAATATGCTAATTGACTGCCCAGCCCTCAAAGATGGCGGCGCCCACAGCCACAAGATGGCGGCTTCCTGTCCTCTCAGCCCCACCGTGGCAGCAGATGTGTGGCAAGGCCAGGCCCGTTCGTTCCGCACACCTGCCTCCAGAGTCCCCTTGTTCCCTCAGCCCCACAGCCACCTAGGGCCAGCCCGAGGCTCAGGTAACCAGGTCCGGCCGAGGCTTGCGCTGCCGGCAGTGGCAGCAGCAGAGGTGTAATGGGGTGTTGCCTCCCGCCCCTGAGGGCTCCTGGACTGTGAGAGGGGGCAGGCCGGGCTGAGGGACCCCCTCCAATGCATGAATTTTCAGCCACCGGACCTCTAGTGTGACTATAATAGTGTAACCTGCATAATGAAAATCTTAACTGTCTTAATTGTATCAATGTCAATATACTGGCTGTAATATTGTACTTTAGTTTTTCAAAATTTTTCTGTAAGGGGAAACAGGTTAAAGAGAAAATTGGCATCTGTATTATTTTTTACAACTGTATGTGACTCTACAATTATCTCAAAATAGAGTTTAATTTTTAAAAAATCAATGTGACAGACTTTTAAAAAAACACATATGAACATCTCAACAAACACAGAAGTCTGACAAATCCAACATTCACTCATGATTTAAAACTATCAGCAAACTAGAAGTAGAAAGGAACTTCTTCAACCAGATAAAGGGCATCTATGAAAAACTTAGAGCTAACATCATACTTAACAGTGAAAGAATGAGTGCTTCCTCCCTAATCATGAATAGGACAAGGATGTTCACATTTCCGCTCATATTCAACACTGTGTTGGAGGCTTGAGCAAGTGCAATAGGTAATAAAAAGAAATAAGAAGCTTATGGATTGAAAAGGAAGAAATTAAGCTGTAAAGTACAAGATAGCCAGTACAACTAATAAGTGAGTCTAGCAGTGTGGCAGGATATAAGATCAAATAGGATTTGAGAAAGTGATATATAACACAGGTAAAGAAGGTCCAATATACTTTTAATATAAGCCCCTAAAAAAGAAAACCTAAGCAAAGGAAGCTTTTTTTTTAATTGTTTTATTGCTTAAAGTATTACAAAGAGTATTACATATGTCTCCTTTTTTTCC